GGATCCCTCTTAAGATATACATAAATCTTAGCCCCCAACACCTATATACCAAGCTGGACCAATAGGACTGCTATCTTGACATCTCACCACAACAGCCCTAGCTAGTAGTCAGGTCAGCTCATCAGGCCTTGTGAAAACACAGCTGCCCTTCAAGGCCAAAAGTGAGCTGCTTTTCCCCTTTTCCCACTCCATATGCTGGCTCACACCAGCAGAACAGCAACCATGCCAAGCATAAACACCCATATGCCACATGTATTCAGTATTTTTGTGTTTGAAATTAATTCATGAGGCAGCCTACTACAGGGAGAATCTGATTTTAATTGACATCCCATCACTAAATTTGAGTGGGAAAAATTGTAGGAATTTAACCATCCTACCTTGACATCTTTGCAGTATGTTGAATTACACCTTCCAGTGCCCCCCTCCCAACTATGACCAAAAGCTATGCTGGCCAGAGATGATCAGAGTTGCTATTCAACATATCCAGAAGGTGCCAGGTTGGTGAGTGCTATCCTAGGTAGAAGTTGTTCCTGCCTCTTGCTATCAACTCAAAAGCTAACAAGACATTTATCATATTCAACAGGAACACGTTCTCTATTTCTCATTGGCAAAGATCATCTACCTGAACTATAAAGGCAGTGTCAATCCTGGCCTTCAACAGATTGAAATGGATGAAGATAATCAACTTCTACACTGCACTGTTTCCACTCTCCAATCCCTTACAAAGCAGACTGGATTCAACCTCTAATCATATTTACTTTTGCTGACCTTGAAATGCAGACAATGCCATGGGCCAATCAGTGCTCTTCTGGATGACCAATAGAGGGGAGTGAAAATATAATAATTCACTCATGCCCTACTCTAAGTCAATACTGATCCAGAATAACAAAAATTCCTTCACTACTGCTCCATTCATAAGAGAAATAAAACATGTCCTGGTCTTTGGTACACCATTGTTTTAGTCTACCCTAGCATGCGGTTGTATTTCCAAGACTTGTGTATTCAGATGAACTGTATGTACTGACTGAGTGTTCATTATAGAGATGATTAAGCTCAATATCCATCATGATCGCTAGCAAAGGTTATTCGCTGGGCATGCCTTTCAAGGAGTTATAGTCTGTCTATCTTTGGTTGAGCTAGCCCTTAGTTTCTCTATGCCCCAAACACCTTCCAGCACTGCCCTGAACAGGAGTAACGTATCAATAGCTTTTTCAATTTAGAGGACAAGGATGCTGAGAGACAGCATTGGGGAAATTCAGTCACAAAATATTTGTGCTTCATTTGCTGTCAGTATAGGACTGACTCTAGGACTAAGAGTTAATAAGTCTGAAAAATCCTTCCCATGCAGCAGATTCACAGCAAAAAGAGGCATCTTTGTTAGTAGTTCCCTTCATCAATGCCTCTTTCTGTCAGAACCAAATGTGGCAGAGGCATTGCAAGTTCACAGAGCTGGTGGAATTGACTGCCTCCAATAAGATTGTCATGTCTTCCTGGCACTTATGTCAATGACATGGTTCAGCAATTCAGCTCAAGAGGAATTCTAGCAAAGATGTCTGTTGATATGAAATTGTGTGGCCAGCAGTTTGCATTGGGGACTCTGCATTGCTGCAGATTGATATGAACATAATTTGACTGTGTTAATGACTAAGGAGCTACAAAGCATAATTGTCTTAAATAAAATAATGTCAGGACTAACCCCAGTCAGTGGATTCAATTGATTATGTGCCATCAAGTTGTTTTTGACTCTTAGTGACCACATAGATAGTTTTTCTCTATGATAACCTGTCCCTAACCTGATTTTTCAGGTCTTCCAACATTGTCATTGTCACTGTAACTAAGTCCAATCAACCTTGCTGCTGGTCACCCTCTTTTTCCTTCTACCTTTCCCAGCATTACAGGTAGTCCTCGACTTATGACCACAATTGGGACAGGAATTTCCATTGCTAAGCGATGTGGTCATAAAGCGAGATGTCGTGACTGCATCACTTAGCGACCACAATCCTGGCAATTCTCCTTGCTGTTGTTAAGTGAATTTTACAGTCATTAGCAGCAGCCAGTGGGGAAGACAGGAAACAGTTTCACCCAATGTGAGAGGGCTGGGAGTTCATTCATGGAGCCATGTGTAGGAATTGTTTGCTGGAGAAAAGGGCTTGCTTTTGCCGGCTTTGCACAAAGGGGCTTCTTGGTCTGAAGGACCAGGCTGGGCACACCTCATCAGAAGTGGGAGCAAGAAAACAGCAAGGTGAGCCGGGGTGGTGGAACACAGGTGGCAGGGGTCTTGGAATGCAGGGTGATAAGGGTGACTGCAGCTGGGACTGGGCTGGGGCGGCTGCGGCTTCCCAGGCATAGCAAGCAGCCCCAGTGCCACACAGTTCCACTCTGCCGCAAGGCAGAGTGCAGGGCAGCCAAAAGGGCAGAGATGGCGGGGGAGATGGGTGGGGGGAGTTGAACCGCCCCTGTGGTTGTAAGTGAATTGATCACATGACTATGGGGGCACTCCAATGGCTCTAACTTCAAGGACCAGTAAGTCACTTTTTTCATAATTTTTTTTTCATAATTTTGAATGGTTGATGAATGAATGGTTGTAAGTCAAGGACTACTTGTAGAGCCTTTTCCAGAGAACTAGATCTTTGTATAATGTGTCTGATGTAGGATAATTTGAGCCTGGTCATTTGTTTGATTATCCATTGGTTTGTTTTTTTGATAGTCCACGGTATTCCCAGGAGTCTTCTCCAACATCAGAGTTCAAAAACATCAATATTCTTCCTATCCTGCTTCTTCAAAATCCAACTTTCACTTCCAAGAGTGTCACGGCTTGCACAATTCTGATCTTTGTAGGTATAGACATATCATGGCATTTGAATATCTTTTCAAAGTTTTCATGGCTGCTCTATCAAGTGCTAGTCTGCTGTGTATTTCTTGACTGCTTGTTCCTTTACCGTTGAGGGTTGATCCTAAAAGGCAGAAGCTATCCACCACTTTGATATCTTCATTGCCAATTCTAAGG